TTCTAATCTTAAAAATAAGGCCCTTATAAAAAAAATATGCAATTATAATTAATGAAAAATAAACTCAATTTTATTTAGCTTTTTATTTTTTAATTAATTTTATTTTCTTTTAAGGGGATGATTCATATATTCCTAATTCTCATACGTGTAGTAAAAAAAAATAGTCTGTCAAGGAACATATTAATCTAGCAATCCAATTATTCAATTACAAATTGTTGAAAACGAAAACTTTTTACATTTGTGCTTGAGAATTAAGATTTTTTAAAAAAAAATCTTCATAACAACTAAACATTTAACCCAACTTAAAAAAAAAAAAAATTCTAAAATCCTAGTTTAAATTGAAAAGTAACTACAAAAATTCTATAAAAATGAAAAATCAGAACAAAAAAAATATAAAATTAGTAAATTACACATAGAATTACTGGATTTAGCATACCTCGTGAGCAATCCACAAGCAATGCAAGAGGTTAATTAATCTAAATCTTTTTACCTTTCTAGATCAAATTGTTGACTGATATTATTGGTAATATAGTGATTTGATGAGAAAATCATAGGTGCTAATAATTTTACTAGTGATTAATTTGGGGAGAAAATTAATTACTGTATTTTTCAGGTTAGAAATAATTTAGCAATGGAGAAATTCATCCTTCGTTTGATTGACTTATTAAATGGCAGAGAAGGGTAAGAGTCTTAAAAGGTATTATGAAGTTTTTGGGTATAAGATGATAATCAACTGAAAATTAGCAATAAATGAAATTTTGAAGTTCTGACAATTTAATGGGAATTGCAATGCATTGATGGGGGGTAATTAAGTTCTAGAAATCTGGTATAATTGTGTTTATTTAGCTCTGATGCATGTGAATACAAGAAGTTTAGGAAATGTCTTTTTTTTTTTTTTTTTTTTTTTTTTTTTTTTTTTTTTACAATTGGGCTCCGAAAATGTTGGGCCCTCAATATTATGGGCCCTATGCTAAGGGTCTATTTGCACAGGCCCTTAGCCGACCCTGCTCAAATCGGATAAAGTTGTGAAAGATTTCGGACTGATAACATCACTTAGGCCTTGTTTAGTTCAACTTATTTTTACTTATTTCAGAAAAAATAAGTTCAGATCAGATCAGATCAGAAAAAATAAGTTCAGATCAGAACATCGTTTTATGTGCGATTTTTTATCGCTAAATATTCCTAATTTCGTAAAGAAAAAAATTGTGAAAATTATATATTAATAAACTACACATTATTACGAATCTAACAAGATCTCACTTGATATAATTTTTCCTTATAGTTTATCGTACACTTAAGGTTAAAGTTTGGTCAAATCAGACAATTAGATCAGATCAGACCATACCAGATCAGATCAGACCAGACCAGATCAGTAAAAATAAGGTGAACCAAACAAAGCTTAAACTTTGAAAAGAGAGAATAATACTTGTAGAATATAGCCATTGCCAAGTTGTGTACTCGTAGTTGAGTACCAAAAGAGAGTAATCAAAAGTAGACTGACTAAGAAAACAGTCGTCAGACAACATTGCGGCTTCGATGACATTATCTACCCACCGCTTGATATGCACCAATCCATTTCTACTATTCAACCAACCGACTTTCAATTTCTGAATTTATATTTGAATTACTTCATCGATCTACTAAATTAAATTTAAGTTACTCGTCTTTTGGAATGATGATAGTGTTCAATTCATCTTCTTCGACTTTATTGTTTATATATATATACAAGGCTGCAAGCCTGCAAAGCAATTAAGCTACCTAATTTTATTAACATTTGAAGTTGGAAGTTTTCAAAAAGCTTCATCGTGAAGTTATCTTTCTAGTGTTGGTTAATGCTTTGAGCTTTGGTTTTACTTACTTTAGGCCACGTTAAGTTCAACTTAAGTATTTCGTATATATCAAATATTAGTGTATGTCAGAAATGATAATATAAGATTAGACTTGACCAAATTAGTTTAAAGCAGAAGATTATGGGTCATGGAAGAAGCATGAATGTCTTTTTAATTTGTACAAGCATAATGGGCCAACCCGAGCATCAACTTGCTTATTTATAACTAATAACTAATTAGAGAAAATTTAAACTGGAGATTACAAAATCAAATTGACACAACACAAGCATGTTGTAGAAACATCGTAGCAGAGGTAGCTAGACAAATGCCCCAGGCCATTGACCGAGCATGAACATCACTTTAAAATTTTAGCACAAGTTTCTTCCTGCATATCAGCCGGACCACTATTTTTATCTAATTAGCAAAATAAATCCAAAAGATTATTGAGGAGGCTCGCAAACTTAGCTTGGTATTTTATATGAAAGATCGATTTAAAGTCGGTTTGACACAGTTTTCTTAGTCTTTTTTTCTCTACATTTTTTTATAGTGAGCAAAATAAATAAAAACTAATTTGAATTATATATTCCAATTTCCAAACCGTCAAAATATATACTTTGTTCATTCTTTTTTAGTTAAAATGTTTTGGCTTTTGATACGAAGTATTATTCATAAACTATACTTTGAGCAAGCTTCTCCCCCGCAAAACCTACCCAATAGCGCTAGCGCTTCGTGTTCTATCTATTCGTTGAGAAGCTTAGTCACACTTCTTTTTTAACTATAGTGGCGACTTTGCCAAAGACGTCTGCTTGAATGAGCCGGTCAACTTCTCCACAGTTTTGTACACGCGGAAAGAATGTCGTTCGCCCCTTCCCTTGTAGTAATAAGGCAAGCGCTTCACCCCTCTTCAGTTTCGAGACCTGTGAGAACACTCTCAAAATATTCCAACAAAGGTTTCATTCAATACTTCAGAAGTAAAATCCATCACAATAATGTCCTTTTTCTTTTTTGAGTAATAGGGCATAACTCTATAGGGTTATTTAGAATAAACGTTGTACATGACAAGGAAAAACCTAAAAGAAGAATCCTTTAATGCCTTATCAATGGAAAACTGTTCGAAACTATGAATTATTCTCCTCACCCTATCCTACTACTACATAGTAGAACGAAGTTGCAGAGAAGAAGAGTCGACATCTTATCTTAGCGAAATTGCATGATGAATGCGAAGAATAGTGTAACATTAGAGGATCTAATCAAGGCTAATCCCTGAACGCGTAAAGTAATGTAGTACCTCAGTGATTACATCTTATTGATCTCCAGCCAAAGCGAGCTAGAAAGGAGAGGTATGAAATTACGCTGTTGTTCTTCCAACACTGACACTAAGATGGATGGCCCCCGTCAATGATCTTAAACTTCCAACCAGGTTAGAGGGTAAGATCAACCTTTTAGCACTATAAGAAAACAGCCGATTTCCAATGGACAGGTTCCGACATACATGTAATTCAGCCGGAAAAATTGAAATTTCCGACGGATTTATTTTCCATCAGATATTTTCGACGGATATATTTTCCATAGGATATTTCCGACGAATTCAAACACCTTGTCGAAAATTTCGACGGAATAAAAATCCATTGGAATATATGTACTTTCCGACGGAATATTCTGTCGTAAGTTAAAAATTTCGACGAAATTAATTTCCGTCGGAATTAAAAAAAAAAAACCTTTTAACTCTAAACCGGAGCTTGTTTCCCCTTTCCCTTATATTTAACCTTTCTGCCTCTTCTATTTCTCTCTCCTCCCCCTTTCCCCTGCTTTCTCTATCCACCACTTTCCCCTTCTTTCTCTTCTACTTTGATCTCCTCTTCTCTTTCCTCTTCTGTTCTCTTTCCCCTCTTTCTTCTCTCCTCTTCTTTCCCCAACAACATCAACAACCAACAACACTACCGTGCAACAACAACGGTGCAACCAACACTACCATCGCGCAACACCAAGTCGGAAACTACAACCACCGTCGCGAGCATCGTCAACCGCACGAGTCCGACCATCTACTCAAGGTTTTTTGTATTGTAGATCTTGTTTTAATTTAGGGTTAGATGGTAGATCTTTTCCGTCGGAAAAGGTTGAATTTCTGACAAATACTTTTATGACGACTGTTTCCGATGGAATTCCGTTGAAAATCGCCTGTTTTCTAGCAGTATAACTAAGTCAAATCACAATCTTCTCCCTTATTCGATAGGTCTGACCTAAATTGAGCAAAGGCAACCACTTTGTACAGACTAGCCACAGAGCTTGGATATGGTTTCCCGATCGGAGATCCATGGATCACAAAGGGTATCTCTGTCGAAGACTAGATCCGCAAGCACTCTTTTTATTTTTTACCCGTAGAGCCTATATGATCGTAGAGTGTTAGTTGGAGCGGTCATCCCGACGATCGCGGAGCGAGGTGGGTGACCTGCACAATTAGGGCTTGTACTATCTTAGTGAATTGTGATTTATAGTTACAATAATGCGAGGTCTTATTTGAATCGTCTTATTATATATTTCATCATAATGTCATTTTTTTGTGACTTATATTTATTAATACTTAGACCGATGAACTTGTATGTTGACAAATATAATAAAAGACGTGCCACTTAAAAGAGTATGGAAGAAGTATTTGGTATTCGAGATACATTATTTTCCATGGTTAAAAAAACCCATTCCCTCTATTTCAAAATAAATTTTCTATTTTGATTTGGCACGTATTATGCCAATGTAGAAATTTATCTTATACTTCCTCCGTTTTTATTCAAGCGCTCTAGTTTGACCGTCACACTTGTCAATGCACAACTTTGACAAACTAAACTTAGTATAAATTACTAAAATTAGTCAAGATGGCTTATGTAAAATGTACAAAAAGTCAAGTAAAACCGAAAAAAAAAAAAAAAAACTAGAATGAGTCACACAATAAATTATTACCGTCACATTTACATGTACAAAGTATACAACGTAGGAAGATAATGACGCGATGTGTCAAAAACACTTCCACAACATTAAACAATTTTTAATGTAAAGAATAGGAAGAGAAAAAAAAAGAGAAAATAAGTAAAGGATAAACCCATAAGAAAGGAAGTACTGAAATTCCACACCAGTCCAAATTATATAAAAAACCACGTGTAGTTTAAAAAAATCCGTCCAATAAAAAAAAAATCATGTCCTCCAATTGTGTGGGTCAAAATTTATTGCTCCCTATCTTTCTCTCTCACTCAACAAAACCAAACAGTATATTGGGGTTTCCTTTATTTCTCAATTCATCTTCTCATTTTCAAACTAAATTAGAGATAAGTGTAAGAGATCGAAGCGGTAATTAAGGATGGGAAGAAGGAAGATAGAGATGAAGCGAATCGAAGATAAAAGCAGTCGTCAAGTTACGTTTTCGAAACGGCGGTCTGGTTTGATCAAGAAGGCTCGAGAACTTTCCGTTCTCTGTGACGTCGATGTTGCTGTTCTTGTCTTCTCTAATCGCGGTCGCCTTTACGAATTCGTTAGCGGCTCCTCTTCTTCTTCCAGGTTAGTATTCCTCTTCTTTCTCGCTCTTATTTCATTTGATTTGGTTTTTGTATGAATATTTTGTCTGAATCTTTGTGCTCGAGTTTTGCTTTTGTTGTATGTACAAATGGCGGAAACTTCTTTGCAGTTTTGTTTGGATTTTAGAGCTTTATTTACTACTACGCGATTTTAGGTTTTTGTTCACATAAGCTCGATCTGCGCGGGTTTTGATTTTTTTTTTTTTTGAAATAATTTCGATTTTCTAGTTTTTTTTTTTTTTTTTTTTTTTTCATTTTTTATAGTTTAAAATTAAAATGGAATTTGCACCAATTTTATGCTGAATTTTATGGAAATTTTAATTTAGATTTTTAAAAATATATTTTGAATTTATGAGGCGGTGGTTCCATGATTAATTCTGAATTATTGAAATTATAAAGAATTTTAACCTTCTTCCCGTTAAAAAACAAAAAAAAAACAACCTTTGGAGTTATCCTTTAACTGAAGAAGTACAGTATACTTCGTATGTAACTGTGATGATTTGATTAGTACTATTTTTATTGTTATGGTATAATTTTTAAATTTATTATTTCATTTTATTTTTTGTTTTTGATTGTTTTTTAGTTTTAATTTCCTTGTCTTTAACGTGAGTGTTTTAACTACGGAGTACTAATTTTAAAATCACGTGAGTGTTTATTATTAATTGTATAATATACTACGGAGTACTTTAGCTATATTTTACTCGTATGATATAGTTGCTCTTAATCATGAAGTTAGTTGAATATTTAACTGTTTATCTCGTGATTAGTATATTACATTGGATAGCGTGAGGTTGAAGCGCTTTTTCTATTGGATTGTTAGGTTCTTTTATACGGAGTACTATAAATAGAAGTGTAAAACTTTCCTTTTTTAGTAGCAAACCTGCAAATGAAAAGGAAAACATCATTTAGTGAATAATTATTACAGTACAGTATTGTTAATACTACAGAGTATTAATAACTATTTTTTTATTATTAGCTTTTAATTTCAACCCCACACACACACACACAAATATATATATATATATATATATATATATATATATATATATATATATATTTATTTATTTATTTATTTATTTATTTTGTCTTTTATAAAAACTATTCCTTTCATCTCTAGAATTATTCGTATATAAATTATGATACGATTTTGATTGATATTTCAACCATTAATTATGTTAATTACTCGTATAAATTTATCAATTATGATACTACGAGTATATATTTAGAAATTTATAAACTTAGTGTAAAACATTTCCATAAATAGTAACAAGGGCGAAAATTTAGAGGTGTACTATATGGATGGCCTAATTTTAGTAATATAATGTTTCTTAATTTGGAAAAAAATACTTTATTTCTGTGTGCTTTTAGTAGTAGTGTATTTTGAGCCTAGACTTTTCAACGTGTAGTGTTATTAGTGCGCCAAAACAGCCAAAGCCTATCCACTTGTTGAACATGTACTGCTCTTTAGTACACAAAGCATATCTTCATAGTTAAGGGAATATAAGCATTGTTGACAGTCAAAGTACTGTCGATTTGATGGCTACATAGTATGTTAATTTGATTTTATTGGAAAATCCGTTTCCACTAGTATTTTAAAACGTTTATTCATCACGTTTCGATAACAGTAGGTTGTAAGATTTGGGACAAATTTTTAAGAACAGAAGAAGTATATGCTTTTTGGTAGCTACATACGAGTATGTGCTTTAAGTTCCTCTGCGCTAGAATAAATGTCGTGAAAATGTTTCTTCCTTCCAGCTTCTAGATCTATGATAGTTTCTACCATTGGTCTCAATGCTAGGTCTAGGTGTAGTTTTTCCAATTTCCACTCGGGTCGTCTTCCCCACCCACATGGGTAGGTTTGTGCGTCATAAAGATGGATCAAATTAAGTTGACTCGTGAGAGATTCGGTCAAGTTAGGATTTTTGGTTCTCTTAATCTCATCTTGTAAAGACAAAATGATTAAATCAAGAATATCCCTAGAAACTTTTTTTTTTTTATTAAAATAAATAAGATAATGAAACTAATTATTCATACCTTAACGAAGATCACCGTAAAATCTAATAAATTCTGACATGAAATTATGTCTTGGAATAATATAACACTAGCAATGCTTAAGATTCTTTTCAAAAAAAAAAAAAAAAGAAAAAAAAAAGCAATGCTTAAGATAAGTAAATGTCTTTTTTTAAAATAAATAAGACAATGAAACTAATTATTCATACCTTAACGAAGATCACCATAAAATCTAAAAAATTCTAACATGAAATTATGTCTTGGAATAATTTAACATTAGCAATGCTTAAGATAAGTAAATCTCTTGCTGAACTTTTACTACACTAAACTTAAGTAGTTAAGTCCCCCTAGCTAATTATAAGAATCCCACCTACAAAAATGGAACTATTAACGTATGCACAAATTCTTATATGTGGCTAGCCGCATGGTGTGACCACTTCACATATAAGATAATTAAATAAGTAATAGGGGGTTATGGTGATGAGCATATGGGGTTACCTTGACGTATGTGGGTTACTTAAATGAAAAAATGGGGTTACTCTCTTACATAAGCATAATCATTCTTTCAATTTTTAAAACAAAAAAATAGGAGTTACTCGAATGAACAAATGAGGTTATTTATTTCTAAATTAGTTGATATTACTCATATAATGAATTGGAGTTACTTTAATGGGCAAAATGAGGTTACTCTTTTGAATAAATAGGGTTACTCATATATATAAATAAGATTATTCTTATAAATCAATATGGCCACACTATGTGGCTAGCCACATACAAAACTTACTCTTAAAGTATGTACGCATGTAGCATGCCTAGATCTAACTTTTGACAAACCATATTGTATAAAAATACTCGTAATTGTCTTGATTTGTATCATAATCCAAGCCCAAAATATTAAGGCTAATAAAATAATAAATCTTAAAATCGTAAATCTTAACTATCATGAGTAAATATTTCGTCAACATTATTTTTTGAATAAAACAACTAATTAAGTTAAATGCACAAGTGCAATGATTGCCTATGTGCATGTTTTTAGAGACGTTGAAAAGTCTCTCATATTTGATAAACATAAAAAATTCTAATTTTAAGTTGTTTTGAAAGATATTACAAGTAATATTTTCAACTTTTGATGAAGTCTTATTTTATATATATACACGGGGAGGTTTCACTGAAAACAAGGCTTATGGTGAAAACTAAAAACAAAAAATCTCAACCGTCCATTATTACTAATAAGATCTAACGGTTTGAAAGCCAAATGATCTTTCCAACTTTCCCTTTGTGAGTTTGTAAGGTGAGGTTAAGGAAGCTTCGTTGCTGAAGTCTTCTGTGAGAGTTGGGAACAAGTTCCTAATTTGGGGAACTTGTTAACGGGTTTGAATCTTCACTTGTACAGAGTTTGATTACATAGTGGAAATTTAGAAAAGCCTATATCTTCTCTCGTCATTATTTCATTTAGTTAAATTCCGCAAAAAGTTTTTAGATTTCACCTCAAATACAATTCACCCCCCCTCTTGTATTAGCCAGTTAGACTGTCAGTTGGTATCAGAGCAGGAACTCAGAACACGCAGGCAACCCTGTTGAGTAAGTTCCTGGAAAATGGCTTACACAGAGGAAAAGGAATTCGGGAGTACATCCATTCAAAGGCCTCCATACTTCAACGGCAAATTTTATTTCTACTGAATGACAAATTGCTGATATATTAACTAAGCCTTTAAGCAGAGACAAGGTATAGTACCCCGTTTACAAAAACGGAGTACCGTATCACTCTTGGATGCCTCCCTCATATTCTGTCTTGCATGCAAAATACAGATTAATTTCCCTGCTCTAATGATTGAACACTTGAATTTTTATGCTCAAAAGACCACAATTCCATATGGCTCTTTCCTTACTGTGTTGTTCAAATCTTTTGGTATTGATGTTGAATGTGAATCCCCAACATATCTCAAACCCGATAATATCCTCTCTGAACAATCATTACTTAGACTGAGTCTTAGGCTTACAAATGGCAAAGTATGTTTTGTGCCTCGGAAAGGAGGGGAGAAAAAGAAAGGGAACATCTACGTAAAGGTAACTATACGGAAAATACACAACATACAAAAATACACAACTTTATCGGTAACAACATACAAAAATACACAACTTTATCAAATTTGACAACATCTACGTAAAGGTAACTATACGGAAAAATAATGTAACTTTATCAATTTTGACAACATATACATAAAGGTCACTATATACAAAATGAAGTAACTATATCAATTATGATAACACTTACATTGAGGTTACTATATACAAAAATAAGGTAACTATATCAATTTTTACAATATTTATTTAGAGGTCACTATATACAAAAATAGGGTGACTATATCAATTTTGACCACATTTACTTAAAGGTCACTATATACAAAAATAAGGTAGCTATATCAACTTTGACCACATTTATAAAGAGGTCACTATATATAAAAACACTACTAGAAAACAGGCCATTTCCGATGGAAAAATTCCGTCGGAATCACCCTGAATTCCGTTGGAAAACACGTTTCCAACGGAAATTCTGTCAGAACTGGTTGTCGGAAAACCGTTCGTAGGAAAAATGACCTCTTCCGGCGGACTTTTCCAACGAAAATTCCGTCGGAAGAGAAATTCCGGCACCGGAAAAATCCGTCGGAAATTTCCGATGGATACTGTTCCGACGGAATTTTTGTCGAAAACTAATTATTAGAAATTAAAAAAAAACGTCGTGCCACCACCGGCACGACGTATCACCACCTCAGAACACCACCACCACCACCACCACCACCACCACCGAACCCCTACCGGAAACTAACCCAAATCAGCCAAACCAGCCACCTAGCCCAGATTCACCAACCACAACCACCGAACCCTAACCAAAACTAACCCAAACCAGCCACATAGCCCAGATTCACCTCGCCACCCACTCCACCTCGTCACCCCCACAACACAGATCTACCA